GCCTGATCCATCATCTCCTCTGTTATCTCTGCATTTTCATCTCCCATTTCTTGAGGGGCATCAGTGTCTGGTTCAACCACACCTTCTTTATCAATTTCTAGATCACTTTCCTCACTTGATGGTTTGTCTGCCTTTAAGTCTTCCTCCACCTTCTTACTATCAGATTCTTCTTCCTTGGTATTTTCTTCTGATTTAGCTTTCTGAGTAGCAGGTGGTACTTTACCCCCCATACTCTCTATCCACTCCTTCAGGAAGTGCATTTCCTCGGGGTGCAGAACGCTCGGATCCTGTTTACACGTTTTCACAAAGGCCTGAAGCTTGTTCGCTTTGCGGGGGTCTGTGGTAGGGAGGTGGTGGGCGAAGCTGGGGGACTGCGGTCCAGTTCCAGGTCCAGGAGCTGGCTCAGTGTGATCGTGCAGAAGGGGCTATTCAGTCTTAAAAGACTTCTTACAAAATCTTGTCACTTTTTTGTTTTGTTTTTTGACGCAGTCTCGCTCTGTTGCCCAGCCTGGAGTGCAGTGGTGCAATCTCGGCTCACTGTAACCTCTACCTCCCAGGTTCTAAGGGATTCTCCTGCCTCATCCTCCTGAGTAGCTGGGATTACAGCATGTGCCACAACACCCAGCTAATTTTTGTATTTTTAGTAGAGGCAGGGTTTCACCATGTTGGCCAGGCTGGTCTCGAACTCCTAACCTCAGGTGATCCGCCTGCCTTGGCCTCCCAAAGTGCTGGGATTATAGGCGGGAGCCACGGTGCCCAGCCAATCTGTTCATATTTTAAGACAAACTTTGAGAGTATTACATTACCTGAAATAAGCCAGATGCAAAATGATGGATACCGTATAATTCCACTTACACGAGATGCCTTACGTAGTTACACTCATAAAAGCAGAAAGTGGAAGGGTATTTGTCAAGGGGTGGAGAGAGGGTAAAATAAGTTATTGTTACTTAATGTGTATTTGAGTTTTAGTTTAACAAGATGTAAAATTTCTAGAAGTCTTTTGCATAGCAATGTGAATATACTTAACACGCCTGAAATGTATAGCTTCTTTTTGAGACAGGATCTCACTCTATCACCCAAGCTGGAGGACAGTGGCACAATTATGGCTCACTTAGCCTCAAACTCTCAGGCTCAAATAATCCTACCCCTTTAATTTCCCAAGTAGCTGAGACCACAGGTGTCAGCCATTCCTGACATAAATGCCTTTATGAGCGAGCCACGCAGTATGGCTCACACCTGTAATGAGAGTTACATGGTACATCACGGTTGAAAAATCATTTCAGGCTAGGATTTCAAGACCAGCCTAGGTTATGTAGAAAGCCCCGATCTCCAAAATAAGTGCCTTTAAGAGAGCTTTGAGATCCAGGGAGGCGGAAGTGAAACTCTGCTAAAGCCCCAAATTAAGGAGTGTTCTTTTCAGAAGCCAGGCCCTCATTCAGGTGGCAAACTACAGGACCCCTGTTCTTGGCTACAGGTAAGAAAACAGCCCACTCAACTTGGTTCCACTGAGAATTCATATATATATATGAATTTTTATATATATATATATGCGCGTTCTTTTTGTTTGTTTGTTTTTGAGACAAAATCTCACTGTGGTGTGGGTCGCCCAGGCTGGAGTGCAGTGGCATGACCTCAGCTCACTGAAACTTCCACCTCCTGGATTCAACATTCTCCTGTCTCAGCCTCCCGAGTAGCTGGGACTACAGGCATGCACCACCATGCCCAGCTAATTTTTGTATTTTTGTAGAGACAGGTTTTGCCATGTTGGCCAGGCTGGTCTTGAACTCCTGATCTCAGGTGATCTGCCCACTTGGCCTCCCAAAGTTCCGGGATTACAGGCGTGTGCCATCACACCCAGCCCCCACTGAGAATTCTGAACTTCCTCTGTAATCATCCCAAACTCCTCCCAGGCACAGTATGGGAGAGGTCCTGTCCTTTCAGAGGCCTGGAGTAAGACATCGATTTATAGCCATACAGGCAGGCCTGCAGCAGACCTTGGCCTTCACTGTGATCCCTGAAACAGTTCAATGACTCAGTTCCAGCTCCATGGGCCACAGTTCATGGCCAGTTCTGCCTACGGAGAAACCTAAACAATGACCTGTAGAAATCCTCTTTGGTACTCAGTGAAAGCCATACTCACCCACATTTTGATATAAGGCCCAACCATATGCAGACCTGAATGTAGAAACGTGCCCTAGTGTCTGCCCTACAGAGCAAAATTCTGAAGGATATTCAGTCTGTTTAAAAACAAAATGGGAAGCTGGGTGCAACGGCTCATGCCTGTAATCCCAGCACTTTGAGAGGACAAGGTGGACAGATCACCTGAGGTCAGGAGTTCAAGCCTGATCAACATGGTGAAACCCTGTCTCTACTAAAAATACAAAATACAAAATTTGCCAGGCCTGATGACACATGCATGTAATCCCAGCTACTCGGAAGGCTGAGGCAGGAGAATCGCTTGAACCCGGGAAGCAGTGGTTTCAGTTAGCTGAGATCACGCCACTGCACTCCAGTCAGGGCAACAAGAGCAAAACTCCATCTCAAAAGAAAAATAAAATAAAACAAGATAAAATAAAATAGGAATTACAACTATCCAAGCCCCTTGTAACCAGCCAACTAAAGGTGGACCCTAGTACAGAAACTGCAGGCTTGAGACCAAGCTACTACCCCTCTCCACAAACCCAGGGGGCATCCCAGAACCCTGGCGCCCAAAAAAGAAGATCTTGGCTGGGCAAAGTGGCTCATGCCTATAATCCTAGCACTTTGGGAAGCTGAGGAGGGTGGATCACAGGGTCAGGAGTTCGAGACCAGCCTGACCAACATGGTGAAACTCCATCTCTACTAAAAATTAGCTGGGAATGGTGGCATGCGCCTGTAATCCCAGCTACTCGGGAGGCTGAGGCACCAGAATCGCTTGAACCCGGGAGGCGGAGGTTGCAGTGAGCCGAGACCATGCGACTGCGCTACAGCCTGGGTGACAGAGCGA